TCAACAAAACCGATCCAGCAGGCAGATCACGATGAACATCGTACGTCAATTGAAACATCCTTGACGAAAGAGGAGCGTTGCGAAGGAATGAATATTACAAGAGAGATCCTGTTGGACTCTCATCGCATGAAATGCAAACCACGAGATGTTTCATCGATGATCTGTGAGATGACTTTGACTGAATCCTTGTCTCCTGTTGATCAATCTTAATCATCGTTTCTCCATCGTTCGTCGATTGACTGTTTCACCTCACTTCAGACGAGAAATTTGATCGATTTGACTTATCAGTTCGTTGTTATTCTGTTCAATTCTCTTTTGTTCGGTCGTCGTTGAAGACCTTTGGTGAAAGAGTTTCGTTTGATGTAATCAACTCGACGAATTCGACTGTTTTAGGATCGTTTTCGTGCAGATCAAGCAGATTGCAGAACTTCATTTCTTCTCGAGCTTTGACAAATCTTGTTTCTCTTCATTCTGATCCAATTCGATTGTTTCGTCTCTCTTTTAGTGCACTTGACTACGTATAGTCTTCGTGTTTGTTCATTGGAATGCTGAACAAAGAGATATTCTTCTTCACGATTCGGTCAAATCGTCAAAATATTCAAAGTTCGTTGTCTCATGAAGCATGAAAATGGTTCTCATCTTTCGTCATCGATTTCTCTTGTCACCAGGACGATTGAAGCATCGGCCAACGTGTTTGTCTCATCTGAATAACGCGAGATTCTCGATGAAGTGCCCTCGAATATCAACTGATCATCAATCTTCTCGTCTCTTGTCTCTTCTCAACGATCCAAAGGAATTCTTCAGATCGGTACTGAACCGAAGAAAAGCTCGTCGCGGAAGAATGACGGGATGTCGCATCATCAGTCGATCATTTTCCTTTCACAGAATTCGAAGATCTTTTCCAATATCTTTGATATTCTTTGCAATGAATGAGAAGATGATCTTCATTGGTTGACGAGTGACAATCAATGGTTCATTCTTATACTGCGTCAGGTTTCGGGTTACTCACGCACTGGTCATTGAGGAACTGGAGTGAGTTCCTTTCAGATCATATTCCGATCTTCCTCATGCTATCTGATGATTCCTCTCGCAATACAGTTGAAATCTTGATTGTGGCATAATTCTATGACTCAACTTCTCACTCTCTAGTGGAAACACGTCGTGGTACCCACTAGGAAGTCGTGTTACTACAGGAATATGTCTATTCGAAACCCAAACGCCCAAACCCATACCCGCACCTGATATGAATCACCCGCAGAGAGCCAACAATAATTGCTTGTTCTGTCTTCTCTCTCCTTATTTTTTTCGTAGAAAGGAAAAAGATGTGTTTGCTTAAGGACTCTGATGAAACTACTTGCGCTTGTGGGGAAAAAGTCCACGAAGCAGTCGACGAATGACACACTATGTTGACTGTCAACATAAGTAGGTTTTTTTCTCGTTCTTGATAAAAATCAGCAAAGTCAATAGTCAATGAAAGCAAATCTGAATCAACATTAGTTGACAGCGGCACTGTGGCATTTAGGTGCTACAGCAGCTAGCCCATTTTTTAGGCATTCCCGACAAAAAAAGAACGATAATAGGAAAATCATTTCCAACGTAGAAAAATCTTCGCAACCTTCGCCCACCGGATTCTGAAGACATTTCAATGCGAGATAGAATGGAACCAGTGATCAACAATAAAAAATTTAATTGTAATTTTTACTGCCGTTTGTAGACATCTAATCGCTAGCACGATTCTTCGATGCTCTTCTTCGAGCTGACATTGTTTTCCAACAATGAAGAAGGCACTATCTTTTCAAAGGAAAAAACCTTCGCTATTTCCATTCGAACATTCAGGACTTCTGAAATGTGAATGACTCAAAACAGCTAAGGGTCATATAAGCAGCAAGACCATCTGCGAGTGGCTTACAAATATTCCCACCGAATATGAATTTGTCTAAAAAACAGATCTTTGCTGGAGCACGGTCGATTTTTTCGTATTTCCTGACTGAAATTGTCTGCATAGAGAGAGAATTGGAAATCAGTATGTTATTGCCAACCTCTACGAGAATCGATCAGCGAATCACTCTCTCACTGTACTGCGGATGCACATGAGATGATCAATAGAGAACTAATCTCGACCAGGAGATCAGTTGCGGACGGTCCAAGAACAAGAGTGATTTGATGATCTTCGATAGTCACGCGGTTAATCAATTTGCAGTGAGAATTCTTCGCCTTATAGACGTACGTTCGAAAAACAGCATCTCGTCAAGCTGAATACCCTCTCCAACTAAGTTCAATTCCTCTTTTTTACGTGACACAATCTTTCATCTTCTTTGCAATCATATTTAGAGTGATCGATCTATCAGAATAGTCCTTTCAACTCAACAGATCTCAGCGCACCTTGAATGACAATCAGTTCTAAGTGTTGTGTCCACCGATGCTCACACGAATTCCCTGTGCACATTGTTGAAGAACATTTTCAAAAGTTGAGCTCCATACACATCACGTCAGTCTCATTCGCATACCTGATGCTCTCAAACATAACACTTCGAACGGCCTCCAGATGTATAGCTATAAATCAAGATTGCTCAATGATGTTGAAGAGAGCCACTCTGATGCTGTACGAGTTGATATCAATCAGATGTAAACGAATATTGTTCGTGGAAAACCCTCGTTTTTGAAATCTAGCAAGTGTTAAGTTCGACGGACTACCACTTTTACCACATGCGTTCGATAGTGTCCAACGATTACGCCCAACGCAGTTTTCTACTGATAGTAATAAACAAACTCTCCGTTAAACCGTCATGCTCAATGAATTTTCTCAAGCAGCTCGATAAGCGTCGCATTCGCAGTGAAAACTGGGTTCGATTCATTATTTTGCAGTTGTGGGATTACTCTACATTTTACAGCAAGCTAAATACGCATCATCTGCTCTGAAAGAGCTGTTTACTAAACAAAACAGGATGCTTTTCCGCTTTACGATGAAAACATGCATTCCTCATCGGGACTCAGACTTCACATTAGCACATCCACAGGAAACGGATTTCCTCCCGGCAAATTCTATTTCTCACTATATCTTGGTGTGGCGGATATCGGTGGTTAGTCTTGGCCAGAAAGAAACAAGAGATTAACAAACGCACCTAGACCCTCCTGTGTTCTATGCCTCTTTCGTTCTAACCCTGATTAAATAGATGCGTAGTACGCGTGTGTCGCCCTCATTTGCATTAGGTGAATGACCAGTGCGTCTGTTTGAGAATGTTTGAATGAGTATGAGTATGGTACAGATCCGCCCATCCTCACCCTCTGGTCACTGTGCGCTAGCTGGTAATTTCCACACCGTCAGAAAAATTATTTCAAGAGCTTCTCAAGCGAAGAATGATCAACACAAGATGCTTCACAAACGAGGTACTCTGGAACCGGCCCATCTATATTTCATTCCCAACGTACACAAGGTAAGATTGAGAAAGGAAGGACAGTGAATTAGTGACATTCTCCGTTTTCTCGTAGCCAAATACACCACTGCGACCAATCATTGCTTACATCCATGTGCCAGCGACGGGAATTTTCCAGTTTCTCGACAAGCTCCTGGCGCCCATATTCTTAAAAGTTACTCGAAAGACGACTTACATCAATGGATTCGATCTGATTCGAGCCTAAGAGAAGTATGCATCAGAAAGTCATCTCTTGCCAGCGACACTCTTTGTGACATTCGATGTGGCTGATCTCTACGCGATGATTCCACGGCAAGGTGCCCTAGAAGCACTGATGCGATTCTTAGTGCGACATTTACATCGTGGTCGGATTGGCAGCCTATCGATCAACGACATCATGCGGATAGCTCGTCTGGTGTTAGACACCAACAACTTTGTTCACAAGAACAAGTATTATCTACAGATTCGAGGTGGGGCCATGGGATCGGCGTTCACCATGACCTTAGCGAACATTTACATGTTGGCATGGAAACAGTCCTTCGTCGAAGATCAACAGGCATGCGGTGAACTCTATGGCCGGTCTGTACTGTTATATTTTCATGCGAATAAGGTTCTCTATTTCTTCTACTTTTGATAGATATATCGATGATGGTTTCATGACCACCAATTTGTCATTCGATCAAATCAAGGCTAAACTAGACACGGCAGAACAGAAGGATCGAAACATTCGAATCAAATATCAGATTCAATCTTGTGTTGAATTCCTTGATGTGGTTATCCAAAATGACAATGGACAACTGACAACATCTGTTTTCCACAAACCAACAGCGGAACCCTACATTCTTCCGTACACATCCGATCATCCACGTCATGTTCATC